TTTTTGAATAGCCCTCGTACATTAACCAACCCTTATTAAGTGATATTTTTTCTTGGAATTGGTGGAAAAGGAGCAAATATTTGAGGAGAGCTCATGAATAAAACCATCAGTACTTTGAACAGAATATATTAAATCTTCAACAAAATTCAGACAAAAAGAAATTTACAGCCGCACCGTAAAAACTTTACTAAAACAATACATTTACGAACTTTGAGCAACAATGAAATAAAAGTAATAATAATATGATACCTGTTATTATAATATATTAATCTCACCAGTAACTACGTTTATCCTGTGAAGTTGATATAATCGAAATTCCGCCAAAACTTACAATCCATGTTTATAATATAGGATGTTTGTTACACGTATCAAACCTTTGAGGTTTGAAATGTTATAACTGCAAGAATATTATCTACTCGAATCCAACACCAGAAAACTTCAAACAAAAACTTGTTGGCTATTCGAGGGCCTGAGTACCGCTCATCAAGGAGTCTGTTGTCATTTTGGGTAAACACAATTGTTGCAATTCAAATAAAGTTGTTTCTTTGCTTGCTAGCTTCAGAGCTGAGCCTTTTTCCAGATGTCAGAGGATCTACTCTAAAAACCCAAGTTCATACCAACACCAAACCTTTATTTTCAACACATCGACACGTGTTTCAATCAACAAGTGATAATTTTCAAGAGGGAGAGAGAAGAGAAGAGAAGAAGATAATTACTTGGTAAAAGTGGTAAAAATAAAGAACTCCAGTACATCAAAGGTTCCAAACAGTGCATCAAAACAACCTAAGTTCAGATCATCGCTAATAAATACTGATATTAGAATGTGATCCATCGCCAAACGGCATTGTTTCGACCCGCCAGGTCTCATCAGTGGTAATAGGCTAAACCACTTAACTCTCAAGTCAAATAGCAGTGGTCTAATGTTAAGAATGTTGGAACAGATCATCTGATACATGAATCTGGGATTTTGGACTATTATAAAGTGGACCTTATAATAAGATACTTTTTAAGACAGGTTTGTTTGATAGACATGATTTATAAATTTAGGTGAACTGAAAAGTTCATAGGCTAACACAGAGATAGTGCCAGTAGAATTAAATCCTTATGATTTTTAGTTAACCTTAATCTTCCCTGCAGGAAAGCTCCCTCCACGGAGGGAACCCCAAGAAGGTTGAAGAAGCCGCGCAACGACAGTAATGTCGCTGCACCTTCCAAAACCTTCCGCAGAGGCCACCGTGAGACACTTCAAGGTTGCCAAAGAGAGTGTTTGTTCGGAGAGTCTTGGCCTGCACCTGCCAATATAAAGGAGATGTCTCCCAGATACCTGTCCACCTTCCTGGAAAGGACAGGATGGACGATGACCTAGAAGGAACTCCTCGGGAGGGTGTACAATGGGTCACATGTGGCCTAAGTGCGTGGGCTTACACTCACCCTCCCTACACTACAGATACAGACACATGTACATATTTCTCAGCTGTTGGATTATTAGTTTGTGGGATAGAACATTTTGCGTGAAGCAAATTTTGTTAGTTTGAAGAAAACGGATAGAAAGGAATTTCGTGTGTTAATAAAGCATTGTTTTTGGCGAAAACAAATACTGTTGAAGCCAAGACTTGGCTTGATAAACAATATTCGGATTTTGCACTACGAAAATCCATCGTTGAAAAGTGATTTGCTAAGTCCGAATGAGGTGAAATCAGCACCGAGGACGGTGCACGCAAAGAGTCTGTTACCGACGAAAACATTAGAGTCCACAAAATCATTTTGAATGACCTCAAAGTGAAGTGCATGAATATTTGGGTACGCCACCCGAGCTCACAATCGCTAGACGATCACTCCACAACAGTCAAAACATTTTCCAGCACAAAAGACTCCAATTTTTTTCAACGAACAAGATTTCAGACACCACGACCTATCAATCGACTAAAGTAACCCTTTCATCCCCTAGATTTATCAACACAAGTACCTGTTTCTGAGTTTCGAGTGCCGTAATGATACCAATCTTAGCTAGAGTGATTGGTTCCTGGAGGCGTCTCTCGTAGTTTTGTATGACTTCATTGATCTCGAACTCGCCTAAGCTTCTCTGATTTCGCATGCCATTACAAAAATTAAACAGAAACGACACTCATTAGCACAGAATTATCAATCACAAAGACAAAATGACAGTGAAATTTCCAAGTTTAATTGCAAAGGTATCGGTTTTTGTCTCTGGTGTCATATTATTAGATGGGTTGATGAGTTCGTAGGATAACAAACAGATGGCGCTACTAGTAATAACTCCATATTATTTTTAGGTAACCCTAACCTTCGAAAGAAACGTGTACAAATTTCACAGCTGTCGGACTATTAGTTTGTTGGATAGAACGTTTTGAGTGAAGCAACTTTTGTTAGTTTGAAGAAAACCGATAAAAAGAATTTCGTGTGTTAATAGGTTATCTTTTATGTTTCGGGATTTGGCAAACCTACTGTTGCAATCTGGTTCTATCGTAAAGTTGGACATTATTGAATTATACGTACTCAGAACGTTTTGACATACGCGCGCTATTTGTGTTGTTCACAGTAACTTAAAAGATTCATCTCGGCGATTATTTTTTACAACTTAAGACGTGAATTAACCCAGCAACAGTGCATGGATGAACTTAATTCAATTTTTGGCTCTTCCGCGACAATGCGAGCTCTCACACATCGGCTCAAACAACTGCATTTTTGAGCACCCAAAACATCGATTTGATGAGTCATCCGCCGTATAGTCCTGACTTGGCACCGAATGACTTCTTTTTGTTCCCGCACGTAAAAAACAAACTGAGAGGTCAACGTTTTTCGACACCTGAAGAAGTGGTTGTTGCATTCAGAACGAATGTTCTGATACCTCAATCAGAGTGGCAAAAGTGCTTCGACACATGATTCAAACGCATGCGAAAGTGTATAGATCTTCATGGGGAATATTTTGAAAAACAATAAAGTGATTTTCGATGATTAATATTTGTTTTTGTTCTCTAATCTCGAAATATAAAAGGCAACCGTAATAAAGCATTGCTTTTTGAAAAAAAAACTGTTGAAGTCAAGGCTTGGCTTGATAAACATCATTCAGACTCTGCAACAGGAAAGTCAACCGTTGAGAAGTGGTTTGCTGAGTTTAAACGAATTGAAATGAGCACAGAGGACGACGAACCTAGTGGTCGCCTCAAAGAAGCTGTTACCAAAGGAAACATAAAGAAAGTCGACAAAATGATTTTGAATAACCGAAGCTGAAATAGCTGAAGCTCTAGAGATGTCAAAGGAAAACGTTGGACATATCGTGCATGAATATTTGAGTATGCAAAAGCTATGTTTAAAGTGGGTGCTGCGCCAGCTCACAATCGCCCAAAAACAACAAAGAATTGATGTTTCTGAGCAGTGTTTGGAGCTGTTACACCATGAAAAACCCGAATTTATGCGTCGACATGTGACAATCGATGAAACATGGCTCCATCATGTCACACCAGAATCAAAATGATCGTCATCCGAGGAAACTGTACGTGGTGAACCGTTTCCAAAGCGTGCAAAGACGCAACAGTCGGCTAGCAAGGTTATGGTATCAGTATTTTAGGATGCGCATGGTATAATTATCATCAACTATCTTGAAAAGGCAAAAACCATCAACAACAACTATCACATAGCTTTACTGGAGCGTTTGAAGAACGAAATCGCGGAAAAACGGACCCTTTTGAAGAAAAAGGGGGTGCTATTTCACCAAGACAATGCACCATGCCACAAATCAAGAAAAACGATGGCAAAAATGCAGGTTATGAGCTTCGAATTGTTTCTGCATTCATCGTATTCTCCAGATATGGTCCCCAGAGGTTTTATTCTGTTCTTAGACTTCGAAAGATTGTTCGCTGGAAAAAAATTGGCGCCGATGAAGATGAGGTAGTCGTTGAAACTAAGGCTTATTTTGAGGCTAAAGACAAATCATACTATAAAAATTGTATGACAGCTATAATCGTTGTATCGCTCTAGAAGGCGACTAAATCGGACAACTCAATCGAATTTTATTGAATTTTCTATGTTAGCCCATGAACTTTTTGGCCCAAATGTTACAATGGAGTAATTCTCATGAGAATGATTCCATTACAAGCTTTGAACGGACAACAGACTCCTCACTGCCGTCGATAGTCAAAAGTAATATGTTTTCACTAAAATTTTTGGGTAATTCAAGACAATGGGGGACCAATAGGGAAATTTGTCACGTATCTGTTTTTCACAAGATAAACTGGATCTGAGATTCAGTACAATTGAAAAATCTAGATCGTACCTTTACCTTTCCTATGTGTATCCCTTATTCCAAGACAGTCTGTACAGACAGGTACCTCGAAGTTTTGCACAATTTTATTCTGGGAATATATACAGGGAGAACTGAAATGTCGGGAACTGACAGTATAACTGTTCTTCGCAAAAAAACCTGGAAGAAATAAAACTGAGCAACACAACAAATCACTACCGCAATCGTTTAAAACTATATAATCCAAACAAAAATGTGTAGAAGAGTGTAAAATATTGCACATCGAGATTGCACTTCATATCACGTTGTATATACGCTTAATCTAATCGAGGTTAAAAATAGTATGAGAAAATATATTGCACTTGTAACTAGTTTAAAATATCTATGATGTATTTGGCAAAATAGCTGATCTTAACTGGGTTTCATGATGGTTTCAAGAAATTCATCGTTAAACTGATTTTAAGTACGAATCCAGAAGCTCCTGGAAGAGAAAATTCCTACTTTTACAACGGAAAAGCAAAACTTTTCGAAGAATTAGTCAGGCATGAATACTCCTAGAATTCAACATTGAAGCTGATAGAAACGTGATTTAGTATATTCAAAACTATTCTTTTGGTCAACTGACGGCTGAAATAGAACTTTTTCAAAATCGTGACAAAAAATTAGATTAAAAATTCAGCTGGTGACATTTTTGAAAACCGTTTTCCCGGGCTCAGTCTATTATTGAATAAAAATAATAAAAACACTCTTATTACATCCAGTTACACCTAAAAAATATACAAGGGTGAAATAAATCACAAAAAAATAAACGATTCTTATTACTCTGTCAAACAATTTATGGTTTTGGGGAAAATGTTATTCTAAAAAAACTACAATCACATTGAAAATTGAATTTCACTGTAGTCAGAGTTTTCATTTCTATTTTCCCACAACTTTTGGATTTCTCACCTTTCATTTATAAAAAATAAGGTTTTTTATGTCTGTTTTTATGTATTTACGTCACTAAATATCAATGAGACAATTTTACTTTCCATTTTTTGTTCAAACTTGAAAAATATCGAACTCAATATAAACGTGAATTTCGTCAAACCATTTCTATAATTCCTAAGATTACTATTGTTGCTTTTCATCTTACGACCTATCTAACCTAATATTGCACTTCCGGCCACTTAAAATATATCACAATAATTATTGCAAAATACCAGGAATTTTGGCAAACGACATATTTTGAAAGTTTATATGTAACGATTGATTCCAAAATTCATCGTTGCTAATATTTTCCACTTTATTTACATTAAAACTAAGTCGAGTTTGAATATGGTTCTATACGGAACGTACTCTATGAAAAAATAGGTGTTCCTTAAGGTTCTGTTACAGGACTGATGCGAGGAATAATTTATAGGTTTGGAAAAACAGTACCACGAAACTGTCTCAACACAATTTGAAACTTCAAATAAAAACAAAGTTTTACTTTTTACAGTTTCATAAATTCGGATCTTTTCATTATAACTATTCATTTATATCAAAATTCCCTCAAGATAGTGTCGAAACCAGAATTAGAGACTTGAATAGAATGCATTTTACCAAAATGAAATCAATTTTTTTTTTGGAAAATCTTAAGGCTCATCAAAACTCGAATTCTTAGTTAATAAATGATTCGAATCTGGAAAAATTTTCCAAAAAAATAGAAGAAATGTGTAAAACAGAAAACGAACGGAACAAAACACCTACATCTCAGTCCTTGTCACAGTCTTAATTTTAGTCTCAAGAAAAAAAGTTCCTTAGGCATGTTTCCATATAATTATTTCGTTGTCTTAGACTGTCATTGAAATGTGACCTTGAAAGTTCCCGAAATTCAACTTTAAGAACTAAGACTAAGACCAATAAGATTACGTCAATAATGCGCATGTCCACAAACAACTGATTCTTCAACTAATCTTACCATAATCAACCAATTTCCGTTTGATGGATTATTTGAATTCAGTTGATTTTTGACAGCTAACGGTTGATGGTGTTTATGGGACATTGGTCCACAGAGTGTACAGGAAACCAACGCGTACAGACATGTACCTGAACAACAACCCTAACCACCAGCTACAACAAAACAGAGGTGTAAGTAAAACGTTGGTTGGGAGAGCACGACGAATCTGTGACCTTGAGAGTCTTCCTGAGGAACTAAAATAACCTAAAAAAGGTAATGGATACAGCGAAGTAGAATTCGAGCAGGACATACGACCCAGGAGAGAGAACATCAAAGTAACGTCAGCTGGGCTAGTCAAAGGAAGAGCTTTCCTTGCCTATGTCAAAACTGCTACAGACGGGGTTGGGAGAATCTTAAAGAAACACGACGTGAAACCAATATTCAGGTTAAGGAAAACCACCAGAGAAAGTCTAAGGTCAGCTAAGGACCCCAAAGAACCTTTAGCAACTCCTGGAACATACCAGAATCCTCGTAGCTGCGGGTCGGTACAGTTCTACTCGATAAAACTCAAAATCACTATCCAAGAGTATATAGAGAGGCAATAGAAATTCCAAAACACAGGGATCGATTTCAATAGGAAAGGAGAGGTAATGTACATTTATAAAATCTGGCTCCCTGTCCTAAATTGTATATAAACAAGGTCAGGTAATCCAATGAAGAGAAACCGCGTCACGTCCAACAATAATAATATAAAACCAGAGTCGAATAGCAGCAGTAGTAGATGAAACGTCAGGCATAAAAACTCTGACAACAGCTTTTATACAGTAGACTCTGTAATAGCCATATTTGCTGACATTGTTCGCAAATCGCACAATTATTTTCTAATTGGTAACACTGTATGTCACATGTCACTAGTCAGTAGTTTTGATTTATAATGTGATATATCCAGTATATACATATTATTTATTTCAGCAAGATACCACAATGGTTTTAATATGTTTTTTCACCTGTGTTTTCACATAGTGGAAGAATCGGATGTTAGCAGTCGAATAGAAACAATTTATATGAATAAACAGTCAATCCCAGTCGTAAAAATTTGTAAGACAACATATTCTTCAATTGAAACAAAGACTGAGACAAAGAGCAGGACGTATAAATTGGTCCTTGAATGATATGCAGATAATAAGTTCATTGGTCATGAGTCTATAGTTGCCTTCCCAAACTTTCCCTTCATCCTTCAGCTAAAAATATTCCCCAGCTGGCGAAATTCTCTCCAAAAATGTCAAACACAACTTTGAAGATCTTGTATAGTTATGGCATTTGCTCCGAGAGAAATCAGCCAGCTCTTCTCCAACCTCACGGACAAAAAACCCCCACCAATATCAAGTCTTCTTCACGGGAATCACGGTGGTATAGCTGATGTTCTCCGAGTCGCTACTGGATTGTCCCTCATCCCCGCCACCCATAACCCCACTATCCGCGGACCCGTAACCCCTGAAGAGGGCCATATTCCGGGGAAACCTTCCGAAGAACACCGAATTGGTCTCCACGCTCTCCGCACCCGACTCACTGTGACCGTCCCCCAGGCTCTCGTCCGTCTCGCTGCCGTTGTCGACGGCCTCGGTGGCCTTCGTTTTTATCGAACGCGACTCGTTTGATTCCGAGCTGAGATAACCGGAGTCTTCGGGTTTCATCGTGGCGTTCCACGCTCGGGGGTTCCTTTTCTTTTTCAGGACGACGTCTTCAGCATGGATGATGGTGCCGTTCTTCTTGGATTTCTGCAGCAGGAAGAGTTCGTAGGAGTGGTCAGGAGTGCCGGAAGGGACTGACGTGCGGCCGCAAGTGGGAGCACTTGATCTCGTTGATGTGTTGCCGACACTCCTGCCATTCGAGTTTTTTGGATAGTGACTGGGTTTGATAAGGTTGTCGTCTGGAACAGTTGGAAAAATTAGTTTTGATTGAGTTGATCATGAAAAAACAAATAGAAATAGGCTGATACTTGATGAAATTCCATAATTGAACTGATAAAACCTAAAATAATTTTGCATTCCTCACTATTTTAGGTCAAATACCAACGAAACCCTTCTATGAAGACTAGATTAGCCTTTTATGAACACACCTGTATCAAGAATATCTCTCGAAGCTCTCGTCCGTTCATAGACAGGCGAACCCCCATGCGGAGGCGGAGGAATAACGTCAGGCTGAACGATAGCCCCTTTAGCACGCTGCCTCCTCGAATGTCGGTCCTCCAACGTCAAAGTTCTCCCCTTTTCCTCCTCCCCGAGAACCGTACAGCAATCCATCCTGTCCACCTCTTTGACGAGCCCTCTTTTGGTCTTGGCCTCGTAAATTTCCCTCAAGCTTCCGAAAGCTCTGTTGAAGTTACTCTCTTCTGGTGGATCGTTGCGAGGAGGATCAGTCTTGGGGGGCGGTACAGCGGTGGAGTCGCTTCTGAAGCTTCCGGTGGTTTTGAGGAGGATCCGAGTGGGATGTTCCAGGCTCGTGTCCTGGCTTTTGAGGGAGCAGTCCGGGATCTTGTTCTTGCTGGGCTTCCTGTCCAGAGTGTCGGCTTCGAACTCGTCGGAATCGTGCACAGGGATATAGTGGTCCAAACAGTCCTCTACTTCTATGAGCAACTTGCCCGGTTTTTCTACTCCATTCTCGTATCGGACCTGAAAAAAAAGATTGATCAGAATAACATTTCAATCAGTAATTGAAATTAGACTATCAAATTCATTTGGAGGTAACTGTTTTTTTCAAAATCTGGTACAACTTTCTTTCAATTTATGCAGTAGGGTCCCGTACGATCTTTGTGTATCGTCCCTTCTGAAGAACCTCTTCGATCTTCTGTTCATAGAGAACAGTATCCATCACCACAGTAGCGTTTCTTTTATCTGTAGGTAGGATCTTGATTGTGTTGTCTCTACGTAGCCCGTTCAGAGCTCTACGTTCTTCATTGCCGATGTTAGTTGTTGGAACTGGTTCTCGATCCAGCTGTTCTCTGATTTTCCATCTGAATTCTTCTGTCTCGGTCTGGTCAATAAGGGAACTGGTGGATTCCACTGCCGTAATTATCTCCAAAGTGGGCACAATGGCGAAATTTAGGCCTTTCCTCAACAATTATTCCTCTATTCCCGTGAGCGGGCGGGAACTCATGTTGATGACGTTGGCGGTGAATTACATTTACCGGATACCCTGTGAGTGCGGAAAATCCTATATTGGTGCAACTAAGAGGCCATTGAATGTTCGCGTTGCCGAGCACAAGAAACACACACAGCGAGGGGAAACCAGCAAATCAGGAATAGCAGACCATGTTTGGACCTACCAACACAACATCGAGTGGTCCCAAGCTGATATCATACACAGAGAGGAACATTGGTTTAGGAGAAAATTCAAGGAAGCCGCATACATGCTGTCCAACAACGTATTCAGTCAAGCTAGCGTAGAGATACGCAATATATGGAAACCCATTATCAAGCGAAAAATGGCCAACTCCCGCCAAACGGTCATCTCCCACTAAACCAGAGAAGCGGAAAAATGGAAAGCAGGGATAAGTCCCAACTTGTGAAATTCATCATGAAATATTGTCAATCACCTTGAAACAAACTATTCCTTACTTTATTCGAGATATTCGGGGTTAGCAATCAGCCTTCCCGATTAATTATCTGCCGCAACTCTCCTGAACCTGTCAAAATGAATTTATTTCTGATATAGTACAAAAACTGATACACCAGACGCTTTAGGTGATAGATTTTCAATTATCCATTTGTAAATGACATTCAACTGTATCTTCAATTGATTTGACTGTTAAAAGCACTTCTTCTTTCACACTGTCTCTGGGCTGAACAGAGGCTGCCCACAGGGGTCAAGTCTGGGACCAACCCTATGGCTGCTAGTGATGGAGGCATGGTTTGAGCGAATTAACAGGATGAAAATCAGGGAAGGCATAGGAGCAATAGGAGTACAAGTGCAGGCCTATGCGGATGACCAGCTTGTCATCATCGAGGGTAACTCTGTCGACNACACAAGTCTGGAATTGTATAAGAATCCGACATATGACACAAGAATATGATGTGAAGAAAAAGAATATGGGTGGGGGAGATAAATTTTTGTAATATGGTTTGGGTTACAATGGTTCGAAGAATTGTTTATTTGCATTATTATGAATTAGTTAAGTTTAGTTAAGGTAGCGATAGGTAAATAGTTATTGAATATGGTTACATTGGTTAGAAGGATTGTTAAGTTTCATCATTTTGATTTAGTAGTTAATTAAGTTAATGATAGGAAATCAAATGTTTTTTGTAGTATAAAATTATGTATGGAAAATTATTATTTAAATAAAGAAATGGGTCTTCTACCCCGCTGATTCGTCCCGGCGCATTGGCGTCGCTCTGCGGCGGTGATGCGCTGGGGGGGGGGGAGAGTTCGGAGGAGTAGGGGTTCCCTTGATAGTGGTGGCGTTGGATAGAGGGAAGTTGCCAGTTGAAAGGCTTTCGGGCTAGGCCAACGAAGGCATAGGCATTGTTCATGTCTCTGGGTCTATGGCGAATAAACCTTATGAAAATACAAACCTTCAACGCGTTCTTGTCCAGTGTAGAGTACCTGGACCCTCCCGGGGTAGAAGGAGCACTTCCGTAGTTGTACCCACTATTCACATACACCTCGCTGACCAAACTGTAGCTGTTGTTGCCCTGCAGGAGTTCGGGCAGCTTGTAGCAGCCGTTCTCGACGATGGAGCCCTTCTTCATGACTATCAGCTCGTAGTCGTGGTCGTCCTCCTGCAGCACGTCCATGTTGATTTTCGACATGGTCAGGTTGCCGGTACGTTTGTTGAAAATCGCGTTGCGCATCGTCATCTCTTCTTGGTCCGGGAGGACGGTGCTCAGGCTCGGGCTGGGCTGGGAAGAAGAGACGTCTGCGTAGTCTGAGGGCGTGGAATAGCCTCCTGGAAAAGAACGAATTCTGTTAATGATTCTCTGAATAGATTTGTGGTGTAGTTGGCGAATGAATGACTAGGTTAGGTTCAAAATGAGTAGGTCGATTCGAAACTCCACTAAAATTCTCGATGGTTTGTTTGTGGCTGATACCAATTCAATAGCGACTGAATAAGTCTAGCTTCTAAACGAAGCGGATCACATTCTATCAAGAAAGTACCGGGAATCGATCATTTAAAAAGCCCGCGTGAAGAGATTGTCCAAATTACTTTTGTAGCTAGATTGGCGCAACTGTCCTCTGAACTCACGCGGAATTTAAGGATCATCTGCGAGAGTTCCAGCTTCTTAACGAAGCCGATTAGTTTGTATGGTGTCAGATGTTAAGAGTTTGCTGTTTCTTCATTTTCTCTGCATATGGTGATTCAAATATCAGTGACCTGTAAGAAGGCCTGTAGTTCATCCCTACTGTAGTCCTAGTCCAAAAACTATTTGGCAGGTGTTCAATCTTTGTTTGGCAAAGCCTAAAGCGATGTCAATGATCCGATCTATTTATTGTTAATAGGATATGGATGCAATAAATTTGAATTTGAATTTGAATGACAGGTTCTGGTCCGAAGAAGCTGCTTTCTTGCTTCATATCAATCATAGTATGTATTTTTTATATCGACTAATCGATGTGTTAAAATTTTTGATGTTGAAGTCAGCCATAATTCCAGCTTTTTCTTGAACAATGATAATGAGTTTAGTTGTTTTAATTCATTTGGTAGACCGTTGTATATCTTTGGCCCAAGAAACATGCTAGATCTCTGGGCTATAGTTTTAGTCACATGCGGAACTAAAATGGTAAATTTTTTTGACCTTGTGGAGTAGGAATAATCTAGAAATATTTTGCTCCGATTTTTTTTCTGGTCAACAGCAAGTGTCAAATGAAATATTTGTTTCACATCTAATATATTGCCAAGCTTGTAAAGGTCATCTGATGGGTAGGTAATTGGTTTTCTGAATATTATTTTCAAAATCCATTTTTGAATTATTTCAACATTCTCTATAATTTCACTAGTTTGGATTTCCATTGTCTACTATATAAAATGATTTGAAATCCCTGAAACAACTGAAAAAGAAGAATTGGAAATGAATAGCTGAAAATAACAATTATATTAACCAAAATAAAGCTGAAATGAAATAATAGTGAAATAAAATACAAGTAAAAATAGAACAATTGAATAAATAAAAATAAAGAAATGAAAAAAAGAAAATAAAAATAAAAAGTGAAGAGATTCCAAGTCACGTTAGTTCACGACGTTTCGATTGTTAGTATCTACAATCGTCTTCGACTTGTATTTTATTTCACTATTATTTCACTTCAGGTTTATTTTGGTTAATAAAATTGTTATTTTCAGCTATTCATTTTCAATTCTTCTTTTTTAGTTGTTTCAGGGATTTCAAATCATTTTATATAGTAGACAATGGAAGTCCGAACTAGTGAAATATTCAATATGTGATATGAAACATTGTCAATCATCTTCAAACAAACATTCTCTATGATGTTATTATATGCCCCTCCCCAAGCTATTATGCCATATCTCAGTTGGGATTCCACTAATGCGCAATACAGCAATAAGAGATGTTTTTCTTCAAGAATGTTTCTTAAATATTTGAATTTAGACAATAGGCTTTTGATTTTTTGCACTAACTTCCTAATGTGTAAGTTCCATTTTAAATGATTGTCTATCATTACACCGAGATACTCTAATTCTGTAGCTTGTGTGATTTTCACGATGCTGTTTTCACCTCTGATTTCAAGGGGTTCAAGACTGGGTAAGTTTTTGTTATTCACTGAAAAGGCTAAATATTTTGTTTCAGAAAAATGTATAGTCAATAGTTTGAAATTGAGCCAGTCAATGATTGTTTTAAAGCTATTTTGTGCTTTAGTGATGAGCGAGTTCCAGTTTTTGACTTCATAAAAAACTGCTGTGTCGTCTGCGTAGCTTATAATTGTCCCATCAGTGTGGAGATTAAACAGGTTATTAAGACATACTGTGAAAAGAATTGGACCAAGTATGGTGCCTTGAGGTACCCCAAACTTCATCACTTCATATTTACTTAAAGTATTACTTACTTTGACACACTGCTTTCTCTCATTCAAGTAACTGTTTATGAGAGTTAAAGACGTTTCACGAATACCAAAATCTTCTAGAGCGTTCAGGAGTTTATTATAACTGACAGTATCGAACGCCTTGGCCAGATCAACAAATATGCAGAGGCACGGTTTACTACTGTCAAAGGATTTATAAACTTGTGTAGTTAATTCCTTTATCGCATCCTGTGTTGATCTGGCCTCTCTAAATCCAAACTGTCTAGATGAGAGGAGATTATATTTCTCAAAAAAATCGGTCTATAATTTATGCATTTCAATTTTTCTCCTTTTTTAAAAATGCGTTTAATAACTGTCGTCTTTAAAGATTTAGGCCAATATCCCTGTCGTTAGTATTTTATTGATGAGCAGTGTTAGTGGCATCTATATTTGCTTTTGTTAAATACATTGAGCTTTGGTTGACAGTTCTGAGCTCTTTATAATTCCGAGGAGTTTCTATTTTGAGCACTAGGTCCTCAACAACCCTCTATAGGGTTAGTTGTGGTTTTGTTATCCCCATTTTCAATTTCTGTTACTTCCGTGCTTTTGGATGGTTTAGAACAAGCAGCATTTACTGTTTTCCATAGTAGTTTTGCACTGTTTTTATTTTTATCGATCTCTTATAATAATCAGCCTTAGATTTCTTTAACAATGTATTCAATTAATTTCTATACGTTTTGAATTGTCTTAATAGAGAATGATTTTCTTTATCAAGTTTCCATTGATCGATATGCAGTCCATCTAGCCTCTCTCTCGAGATTTTTTTACAGTACCTACTCAAGTTTTTGATCAACCTCAAATGAGCGGAGCGCTGAAAATGTTGCATAGGCGTGTATGAGCGGTACAGTGCATTTAAAAATGCTCGTGATGTGATGGGAGATTGGTCTCTATCTGTTTGGCCAGCAACNAGGGCTTTTATGTTGTCCGGTCTATCTTCTCGTCCTTCGAGGGTTTCCACTATGGAAACGTTTTCTTCCGGCAATCTTTCATTTGTTGCGGAGTCCTGATGCGAATATTCGAAAGTTGAGAAGGTTGAACGATGCGAGTTGAAGCCGAACTTCTGGTTTTGGGGGTGCACCAAGGCAGACGTTATCTGTAAAAAAAAATAACAACTTCATAGATTCTTTTTTGAGTAACAGTAGGACTTCTTCTCTGATCGCGACGGATGTTGTATTCGGAGTGGAGTCCAAAACAGAGGTGTGGTAGAGAGAGATATCTTCTTTTAGTATAATGCTTAAAGTTTGAACTGATATCGCATAAGAATCACTAATAGCGTAAACACAGGACCGAATTGAATGGATTGGACTCAAGGAGGAGATCGTCTTGGACGTGTTTGGCTGCACTATAAAATATAGGTTTGAGGTGGCTACAAAAGCCTTGAGTTTCCTTGATTGTTTCTGGAAATAGCATATTGATCAGAAGTTGTGCAGAAGCAGTGCATGAAACTCTAGGGTTTAATCAATTCTGGAATTTCGTACAAAATTAGCTTCCGAGGATTGATCAAATCTTTACAATGCAAAAAACCTAAATGAAGCATTCTCATCCTTCAGTTATACTTTCAACCATCGACACATAAACTTTGAAATCGGAGGGATTCAGACCTCGATCCTAACTTATCAAAATCCCCGGAAAACAAACTGGGGAGCCTATACGATGGACCTGGAAACCTGTTCAGACCGCATGGATTTTGACATCAGAGATTCCATAGACCTAGAGTAGGCAGCAGATCGATTACAGGGAGCTATCATCTCTACGTATTAGGACCATTGTCCCATAGCAAACCAGAGATCAACAGGAATGTGCCCTGATGGAATGAAGATCTAGCGAGGATGTGGCAAAAAACTAGAAAAGCCTTCAAATGTGCAAGGAAATCAGGTTAATGGGACCAATACAGAAGGTCTCTAACTGAGTATAACAAAGTCCTGAGAAAATCCAAGAGAGATACGTGGAGAAGGCAATTTGAGGAGGACGAATAGACCCAAGCATGTGGCAGGCTCCACAAAATACTCTCGAAGGAACCTCAGGTCTCAATAAATAATTTGAAAACAAATACGGGGGAGTATACAAAAACCGGAGAAGAGACTATCAGAGAGCTTTTTCGGGTACACTTTCCCGGGTCAGAAAATACAAATCTAACACCGGAGTCCTGGGCGAATTCAGAACTGGAGACCCCGAAAAGGGCATCCAGGGAGGACTGGCAAATGACAAAGAAGGTGATAGATACGGAGAAAATCAAATGGGCTATAAACTCATTTCAACCCTATAAGTCGCCGGAACCGGACGGCATATACCCAGTAATGCTTCAAAAGGGACAGGAAGTACTTTTCAAAAAATTGTGTATAATTCTCAGGGCAAGCTTAGCACTGGGACACATACCAAAAATTTGGAGACTGATCAGGGCCACCTTCATTTCGAAACCTGGGAAAATCGGACAGGGCTCGGCGAAGGCTTTGAGACCAATTAGTCTCGTGTCATTCGCGTTGAAAACGCTAGAAAAACTACTTGACAGGCATATTAGGGACGTACACCGGCTATCAGACCATTACATCGAGACCAATATGCATACAGGTCAGGTATGTCAACAGAAACGGCTCTATGTCGGGTAACAGAAAAAGTAGAATATACCTACAAAAACAAGGAAGTACTCTTAGCTGCTTTCTTGGGCATTGAGGGCGCATTTGATAATACGTCGTTAGAATCAATCATCCAGGCGTCGAGGAGAAGAGGGATCGACAAGACAAGCTGCAGGTGGATAGACCGCATGCTTAGGGAAAGATTGGTATATACAACCATTATGGGGGAAACAGTCGTGGCAAGGGTAGCAAGGGGCTGTCCACAGGGGGGGGTTCTATCCCATCTGTTATGGAATCTTGTAATGGACGAGCTACTATGTCTCCTGGACCGTAATGGGTATAAAGCACTGGGCTATGCAGACGACTTAGTCATACTCGTCCAGGGTAAATACAATAAGGTAGTGAAGGGATGCATACAGCAGGCCCTGAACATCATAACAAGATGGACCGAAGAGAAAGGGCTTAACATAAGCCCATCCAAATCGACCATAGTAGCATTCACCAAGAGGACTAAAACGGAGGGTCTCGGACCTCTACAACTTCGAGGTGTCGGGGGAGGTTAAATATCTGGGAGTAATCCTAGATTCCAAACTGACTTGCATCCAACCCTTGGACAGGATAAAGAAGAAAGCGGAGGTAGCACTGATGCTCGCCAGACGCATCTATGGAAAAACATGGGGACTAAAACCAGACGGAATATTGGCTGTACACGATGGTGGTTAAACCCATGATAACATACGCATCTCTGGTCTGGTGGCCAAAGGTGAAGCAGGCGACCGCCATCAACAAACTAGGCAAGGTGCAAAGACTTGCACGTTTGGGAATGACGGGAGCAATGAGAACTACCCCAACAGCTGCATTGGAGACACTCCTGAATCCACCTCCTTTACACTTTGTGATAATGTGTGGCCAGGATGGTCCAATTCAGACTGGAAAACTCACCGAACTACAGAAGATCGGACCGAACAGAAATTTCGGAACACGTGGAGGAGCACATATTGAATATGTGCAAGGACCACATGGCACCGAAGTACACCTTTAACACAAACTTCACGGCCAAAATCATAAGCCGTAAAGAGTGGAAGACCGTTAGTCATCCCGAAAACATATTTGGAAAAAACACCTGGTATACAGATGGATCGAAGACCAAACATGGAACGGGAGCTGGAATATACCGAGCGGATAGAAATCTAAACTACAGCTATCCACTAGGACTATACACATCCGTATTTCAGGCGGAAGTGTATGCTATCTTGCAGTGTGCAAGGCTTATTAAATTGAGACCTCAAAGAAATGAGCGGATCAATATTTTTACTGACAGCAAGAGCGCACTAGGGGCTCTGACAAACCCGAAGGTGACATCAAAACTGGTCTGGGAATGCCATGAAGAACTGAATGAACTTGCAAACAGGAAGAAATTAACTTTGTACTGGGTGCCAGGGCATTCAGGAATCACAGGTAATGATAAAGCTGATGAATGCGCTAGACGCGGATCATCAACTTCATATATAGGTCCTGAACCAGCTCTGGGGGTATCAAAGTCACTGGTACGAAACCAGATTAGGATATGGACCAATAAGAAGCACACAGAGTACTGGAGAAAAGTACCTGGCAACAAACACAGTAGAACCTTCATTGGGAACCGTCCGAGAAAAGAACCGAAGGACTACTTCAATATAGTAGGGATCGGCTCAGAATAATTACAGGGTTACTATCCGGTCATTGTCCGCTCAGAGAACACCTGAATAAAATGGGGCTGTACAACGGAGACCTCAGCTGCAGATTATGCAACGAAGGGATAGAAACAGCTCTACACATCTTATGCGAATGTGAGGCAGGCTATATGTGGATGTGAGGCAGGCTATATGTGGACGTACGAAATTACGTCCAGTAGAATATGACGAACATCCAACACGGAACCTGTACGAACTAGTACAGGGAACGAGACTGATGGAATGGGTGTCATGAGAAGAAGGGAGAATAAACGCAATAAGCCCAAGAGGCTGCAGTGTTTCCTGGAGACTTGGACTAAATGGACAAGTCAGACAGCTTCCAAGGTACAAAAAAAAACGTCACGCGCGAATCGTGTCTTGTGTCATTGTTAAACTTGTTTAGTTTGGTCTATAATTTAACCATGAATCGACTCACGAATGAACAACGCTTGCAAATCATTCAATGTTCTTATTAAAATTCATGCTCGGTGCATCGTGCACTTCTTCCAATTTATGGGCAGTTTCGTCGGCCTACTGAGGGAGCCATTCGGAAGCTTGTGACTAAATTTCGAAGCCAGTTTACATTATTGAACATTACACCACCAACACGCATACGTAGAGTGAGGACCGAAGAAAATATTGCGGCTGTATCCGCCAGTGTTCGCGATGACCGTGAAATGTCGATTAGCCGCCGTTCGCAGCAATTGGGCCTATGTTACACCACTACTTGGAAAAATTTGCGAAAGGATTTGGGTGTAAAACATTATAAGATACAGCTGGTGCAAGAATTGAAGCCACACGGATCTCCCACAACGTCTAACATTTGGAAATGGGCGCTGGCAAAGTTGGAGGAAGATCCACATTTTTATCGAAAAATTGTATTCGGTGACGAGGCTCATTTCTGGTTGAATGGATGCGTTAACAAGCAAACTTGCCGCATCTGGAGTGGAAACCAGTTACAAGCATTGTAAGGGCTACCGATGCATCATGAAAAAGTCACTGTTTGGTGTGGATTATGGGTCGGTGGCATCATCGGGCCGTACTTCTGCAAAGACGACAATGGCCGGAACGTTACTGTGAATGGCGAGCGCTACCGTGTGATGATTGACGACGTTTTGTTGCCCAGAATGGAAGAATTGGACATGCCTGACATGTGGTTTCAACAAGACGGTGCCACATGCCATACGGCACGCGGAACAATGGCCCAATTAGGAGCCGCCTTCGGTGAACAGTTCATCTCACGTTTGGGGCCCGTCAATTGGTCGCCTAGATCGTGTGATTTACCGCCTTTGGATTATTTCTTGTGGGGTAATGTTAAGGCTCATATCAACAGGGATGAACCAGCAACGACTGACGCTCTGGAAGACAATATTGAAGCATTTATACGTGAAATACCGCTTAGAGAGAAATGAAAAGAGATAAAAAACATTGAAATTTTCATTTCTCTTTTCATTATGATTTTCTACCACGTAGTAACGGCTACATCCATCAATTTATCGGTTAGAGAGAGTGTGCCAAAATTGGACCTTGCTCATTGGCCATCTAAAGCGGAGCCGCGGACAACCTTTGCATAAAATCATATTCAAACATTAAATTATATTGATCGTTCTATCGATTTCAATAAAGATTTCATCAATTTTTTTCAAATTGTTTGTTCGGCATTTTCCACAAACTCACCTGTTTCTTCCTGTCCTCGTAATGCTTGATTATATCCGGCGCGGCGTCGTTATCCGAACTGTTGGTGTCGCTGTACGCCGTCTCGCCCTGTATGAAGTGCGTCGGCATCGAGAGCAGAGGGTTGCTCTTGACCACCCCTTCCTCGATGCCGCGAATGCTCTTGTCTTCGTCAGACTTCTCCGACGAGTCGGATCTGTTCCGTCTCCGCAGGTGCAGGTAGAGGAAGACCGAGGCGACGTAGATGAGGCCCAGAAGCACCGAGCAGATGCCGATGGCGACGTATTCCGAGACGCTCATAGACTCGCTGGTGATGCTGCTCGACTCCGTTTGGCTGTCTTGGGCGAAAGCCACTTCGCTCACGTCTAAAAATCGATCAGAATTCACCACAATAGTTTAGAGTAATAGTATTCTGTAACAATCCTCATACAATGAACACAACTGATTTCACACTACTTTTATTCCTTAGCTTTTGTGTCATTATATGAAAAGTGAAACATTTATTTATCAAACTCACTCGTGAGATGCTTCATCGGCGATCCAACTACTCTAAAAGCCACACAAGGCGAGAAGATAATCTGAACTCGAGGAATTTCCATAGACTCGGTGGTTGACATTTCCCTGCACATCATGTTGACCATAATGAGACGTCCTGACATTCTGCTCCTCAGCTCTGCGTCGCCAGACCACTAAAAATTGACAGTTCGTTACATCCGCCTTTCATGAGGATGGCGCGAAATATTCGAAATCTTTTGGGACCATAGCCGGAGTTCATATGAAGGATTTCAAAGAAAAAAACAATTGAAATCATAAGGAAGAAATTGAATACTTCCGGCCATAACGTGAGCTGCTGTGACAAAACTCTTCAGAATTGGATAAAGAAACTAGGATTTTGATTCAAAATAATAAACAGACGTCAAGCGGTTATGGAAAGCAGAAGAATAGTGGAATTGCGTAACAAATACTCAGAACAAATAACTGAATATAGACGAAACTTGGTATAACACTCACGACACAGTTATGAAAGGGTGGACTGATGGTTCGAGAATGTGTACGCCTAACATGCCTGCAAATAAAGGATCGCGACTAATCATTATGCATTGCGGAGGAAGTAAAGGATGGGTTGCGAATTCTTTGAAGTTACGTGGAAAAAACTTGATTGCAATGTTGACTATCATAAGAACATGGAAGCTAATATTTTTGAGGAATGGTTTGAAAACTTATCGATTCCAAATATTATAATAGTGCTTGACAACGCTTCCTATCATTCGCGGCAGCTCATCAAAGTACCAAATGAAAATTCGAGGAAAGATGAAATATAAAGTTTTTTAATGGATAACAATTTGTGTTTTGAAGATTAATATACTAAAAACCAACAACTTGAAGTTTTACAGACAAAAACATTTGAAAAAGAGTATTGCTGAATAGTATGGACACACCATACTGAGACTTCCCCCCTATTTTTGTGTTTTCAATCCCATCGAGTTGATTTGGGGAAATCATCAGGCGTAAAAATAATTTTTCAAAATTTGATAAGATGGTGATAGAGCTAGTTAAAGAAGATATATATAATATCACCGAAGAAGACTGACAGAAAAGAATCTAAAAAGTAATTTTAGTTGAAAAAGACTCTATGGAGATTGCACTTAGATGTCTATATCGAAAACTATAAAAACAGTTCCGAAATATTTTCCTACTCTTTGAAGAAACTAAATAAGGAAACCCTCTAAAGTCACCGAACTAGTAGTTACTGTACAATTTCGAAATGACTCAATGATCAGTTCAATATCGTTCCTCGAATCGATTTTCCCAATGAGATTAATTGTAGAGAAATGCCTGCCATGATCTTCAACAGATACATAAATACTCATTTCAGTGTCAGAAAAACTCTTAATGACCTATCAACAATCTTTTGAACAATTTTCATAAAACGTTATACGCAGTGCATTGTGATTTGTGATGAAACTCGAGAGCCGCAATCTAGCCGGTGAACCGATATGGAATTCTCAGGAATTGGTATGGCAGTTTATCGATATTAATGTAGGTACATTCCGTTTTTTGTGATTTTATTTTTATGGCAAGTTAAGGTACGAAGCGAAAACTTTCCATTATGTAATGAATGTAAGATCAACAAATCAGAAATTTGAATAATAAAAAGCTCTTACTTACGATTCACAACTTACTCGCTGAATCTTTATTGAGGTACTGTATCATTATATGGGGTGGTCTCAGTAAAACATTATTACACGTTCTAGAGATTGAAAATACCATATTGAAAATAATTTTCAAGAAAAATAGAAGGTACTCTACTGAAGACCTTTACAAAGAAACTGGCTTATTTGATGTAAGAAAACTCTATACCTATCAATGCTTAATATGGTTAACGCACACACAGAAATTTATATCATACTTTGGTCCAAAATTGTTAAACCTAGTACCTTTAGAAATCAGAGTCATTCCTAATAAACGAAAATTGAAATCAAAACTGAAAGAATATGTTAACCAAACTGAAAACCGTATACGAACTCGAGTAATAATAAGAAATACAAAATACAATTAATAACCATATAGTCTCCCTCTCATAATGAATTTAACTTTGATTTTTTTCTTTCTTTCTACTCACCAATCAACATATGAATACTTGATGTAATCCGGTTGATGACTACATCACAAGCATTGCTTAGGTAGCTCAGCCTGGACTCACAATATCCTGTTTTAGTTAGTTTTAGTTAGTTCTTTCCTTTTTTTTTTAGTTTCTCAAGTTATCTAATTTTATTATTGAATTCATATTGTATATTATGCTTACCT